CAGATTCAAACATGTATCATTTATCTGTCCCAGTATCCTTAAAACTGAAACTTCCATTTGATTATTGTGAAGTGTGACTGTAGCCAATTCAAGGATATTTACGCAATATCTTTGTTTTATATTTGTATATTATTCAAGTTTCTAAATTGAGGGACCTGTAAAAATAGATAAAATATGGTTTATCTGTTAATTCTGACCAAAGCCTAGAATTAATCAACTTTAAGAAGGGAGAAAAAAATACCCAAAAAACAAAAAAGAAATTTAGAGAAAGATAAAAAGATAGAAGAAGCAGATCAAACAGGCTTGCTTTCATTCCAAAGTTAAAAGTTCAAGAAAAAAGGGAGAGCATAGTTGTTATTTGTATTTCTTGCTCACTTTCCTAATCTCACTTCTGTCTTTTCCACTGGTTTTCTTGTGACTCTTCATGTGCTGTTTGGTAAGCATATTGTACCTCTCTTTTCTAGTATACCTTAGTTTCTGGTCTAATGCATTTTATTAGTTTACATCACAACCTTAGCAACATTGCAAAAATGGATGTAATGGTTTCCTGTACAATAGGAAAACAAATTAACCCCTTGAAAACTGCTTCTTTACTATGTTAATCAACAATCCCATTACTAACAACTGCACATCCATGCATTTTGGTTGAGTGAGCTTGTGTCTCCTGGTTTGTTTCTTGTCAAATTTACAGATTATTCTGCATAACTTTTCACCCTGAATCTCCACTCTACGCGACACAGGTAAAAAAGCACACAGCCAAGTGCAACACTCTTTTTTTAGACAGTAAGCATGCAGTGCAAATTCATGTCAAGAGGATCTGCAAAGCTCCTTGAGCCTATGAACAGGTGTGAAAAATGTTGTGGCAATCTGGAAAAGCATTTTTTTAGACTATTGTATTATGTAGGCAACAATGAAATCGTTTACCCACAAAACAGCCGTTCATAATACTGATATTTTAATGTGAGGATAAAACTTTGAGAATTTAAGTCTATAAACAGTCTCCATTAGAGAATGCACAGGTAAATAATTAAAAAGTCAAAGTCAGAGTACCAACAATAGCCACATATTTTATACATAAAAAATAATTGCCTTCTTCAGTTTGCATCACAAAAAGAAATATTTCCTTGTAACAGCTGAAAAAAGTAGAATCCAGATCCTGAATATTTAATAGAAAATAAAATGATATTTATTTTTAAGTGCATTCTACATTCAACACAACTGCATACTCACAACAAATCTATTGCGTTGCCCTGACATAGTTACTGCAAAGGTTTTTCCTTTGCTGTCCCAAGGGCCCAATTGATTTATCTGCCAGAAGCCTAAAGCCCAAAAATAAGATAGCTTTGAGTTTACAGAGGTCATTTTTCATTGTCTAAATAAAAATTTCTAAACAAAAATCTCTCATCCTGTTAACCGCAGGGTCCTTATCTCCCCAGAGGCTACAGCAACCTGAAAGAAGCCATTTCAATTCTTTCATGAAGAAAGATAAAAGCAAGTTTTCGATTAGAAAGCCAAGCAAAACCTTCTTATTAAACGGTGGTAACGGTAACTAGTTGAAAAGGCAAAACTGTTCTCGAACGGAATGGGGCGGGGGAGTAGGAAATTATTATGCATGAGACAAACCTTATAAAAAGATTGGGAAGACAATCAGAGACAGTGACATTGGAGGAGGTAAAAAGAAGTTTATGAATCCTTGTAACTTCTCACAGTTGTTTTACCCAATTCCTTAATAAACTGCCTAGCTTTATCAAGCATGTTTTCTTAATTGGGTGTGCCTACTTTCATCAGCCAACATTAACTACATGTCACAATAATTACGCATTCGGGCCCATCTTCTCTAATCTGTCATCATTCCGAGTGCTTATGCAGCACAGGCAGAGGTGGAATGTGGCATGTTATCCAGCTTTAGAATAATAGATTTTGTGAGGCTAAGCCAAAAGGAAAATTATCAAAAATGACTTTATAGACTAAGTTTGGATAACGAAGATAAACACAGACACTAATGGTGATGCCCTGGGAAATAAACCAGAGCCGTGAAAGAAAAAGATTCAGCTATTTGGAGAAGTCTGCAATGAGTGAAAGAGAATTAAAAAACATTGCTCATATTTTAACTTAATTCTTTCAGTATAATGTAGTAGCAGAAATGAAATAATTTGGCGGTATGTTTTCACTAAAACATAAACTAGTTTATCCTCCAGTTAAAGAGCTGGGGTATCATTCTTAACATCTCTGAAAAAGAGACATGGTAGGGATTTGGGGGGAATACTTTAATTCAGTAAGCTTAATTTTTAAAGTCTTTTCATTTTGTCCTATGAATGTATATCCTATTAATTATTTAGACTTTTATTAATTTTACATCTTGATATAAAGAGAGATACCCCCACATGAGAATAAACACTCTGGCATAAGCTATAAAGAGTTGGGCTTTCCTTATCTGCCTGCTCTTACCCTAAGGTAGTATCTATGAATATAAATTTATTCCTCTCAGGCCAGGTATATATTTTGAAAAGCAACAGAATGTGCTCTTCATTCTGTACCACATAAAGAACATACTTTTCCTCCTTTCCCCCAAGAAAATATGAAAATAAGATTTCTATATATTGATTGTAAAATTTAATTGTCACAAAGCAGAGGCTACCCAATGAAACACTATCAGAAGGCATGGCTTCATATTAAATATTTTAAAGCTAAAATTATTTTATCTGACAGGGAATATCTAAATTTTTTAAAAGTTTACTTTGCAAGGAATTCATCCTAGTGGATTCAGACAAAGGCCATGTTGCTCAAAACCAGATAAAATATGAGAATATAACATAAGGAATTTTTGTTTGTGCCTGTACGTATGTGTGTGCATGTGTTAATAATGTGTTAATTGTGATGGCACTGTACTATGTTTTTATTTTTGTCCTATAGTTATGATGGGTAAGTGACAACAGTGACTTTAAATATTTCTAGGGCAAAATTATCTTGACTATTTCCTATAGGCTAAAACTTTGAAGACTAATTTGTCACTAGCGCATGTGTTACAAAGGGATCCAGTATTGCCTCATAAGAAACATGTGCTCACAAGTCCACCTTCAGGCAAAGTGTGATGGTTCTCTATCCAGCGATGAGTATTTATCATATGCCCCAAGTATTGCATATAGGGTACCAAACACAGGACCAGTTTTACTGCTTCTTAAACATATGAATCTGCCCTCAACCAGAAATACAAAAGACTTCCTCCCTGGGCTTTCATCCAAGAGTAGAATGTTGATCTCTCAGATGTTGTTTGCCCATCCAAATCTAAACTGTGAGAACTGTAATGCTTGGGAAAAAAAGAAAACCCCAAAACTGAAGGCCATTCTCTCTCTTATAAATTATAACTTCTGCTTTGAATCAGAATGTTGCACAAGAAGGTATGATATATTGCATTTACTGGCCCCGTACAAAACTGATGTCATTGAGTTGTGTATTGATGCCCCTGACCCACTCTATAGAAGGGTGCATACAACAAAGCAACTCTATAAAATTCCTATAAACAAAATTGCCGTTCACATAGCAAAGCTGCAGAAGAGGTTACACCCTGCATCAACTGATGTTCTTCATATCAAGATTCACATAGGAAATGTCATTTAGAAATCAGTACTCAAAATTCTATGCTTCCCCTGAGAAACTATTAGAGCTTATCTTTGTTGATACTAAGTTTTAGAAAACCAATTTTATCTATTTTATTCCCATTTTTCCTGTATTAACCCTCATTTCAACTATTTTGGGGAAACAGGGTATGGTGTAAATAATAAAAGAAATGGTTAAAAGGATTGAGCTCATAATACAAAAGCCCTACAGACTAATTAAAAGGAACACCTGACTCACATTGGCTTGAGTAGCACAGTCATGTTCTAGAGGGAGGTGGTCCATGGCTGGTGTCAGAACAACCAAGCTTGCTCCACCTTTCTGCACTGCTAGAGTTAGACTTATCTTTTTTTGCCTCTGTGCTTGCTGACTCTTGGTTGTACGATTGCTGCCATGACTCTGCATAATAAAACTACATTCCAAGATGCGATGAACGAGGAAGGACAGCACTAGCCACACATGGGTCAGGAAGAAAGTATCACTAGATGCTCGCCCAGCAGACTTTTCCTCATGCCTCATTGGATATAATGAGAACTTATGGCTCCCCTCTTGCTGCAAGGGAAGCTGAGAAAGAGTGTACTAGGCTTTCCAGAATTTACAGTAGGGGTGACATGAGAAAGGGCAGTGGCATGAGAAAGGGCAATGGTATGTGGCTGGTAGTTTATCCAGAACAAAACAAAGAAAACTTACGCTCTGCCACAGTTAGTGAGAAACCTCAAAGGAGGTCTCTAAATACTAGTCATTACATTCAAAAATAATAAATTACCATATGAGTACGGCAATATTATAAAATAGCTAAGAAGTGGTAGAGTTTTGTTTACATAATCTGGATGCTTACTTTTAAAATGTGTTCATTGTGATGGCATCATAATACCATTAGCCGAGTTCTCAAGGCCCCAAATAACATGAAGTTTAATTTTAGGATAGTGGATGTAAATCCTGCATCAGACTGAGTTCTTAATAATGTCTAACCTTTTTGGCCAACTTTTTGTGAAACCTAATAGACCATCATTGTTTTTATACTGCATGAAGTGTGACAAAGAATAAAACATCCACTCTGCCTGTATCCTTTCTTGTACAATGTTCTTGCATTATTAGTATTATATTTAATTTGTGTTTTCTTAGCAAAAATCTTTTCAATTCACTTATTCCTTTCACAGGGGTTCATTTAAATGGGTAATATAATTCATAAATCCACTTACCTTGGCATGTAGAAACCATAATATTTGGCATTAAGCTTAGAATGCATCAGGCATAATTCAAAAGGTTTTATTCATATTTTCTGATTTTGTCATCATAACAGCCCAACAATATAGGCAGTGTTAGTATCTCCATTTTATGGATAGAAAAAACTGAGGCTTCATGTGGGTTTAGAGGTTACTCACCTAGTAAGTTCCTGAGCTTGAATTCAAAACCAGGTTGGTCTGATTCCAAAGTCTTCTCTCTTAATCACTCTACCAATAAATCAGTTAATTGAGTAATCAATCAAAATTCAACCAAGCACAGCTCTCCATGAAATGGAATTTTAAGGCACACTCAAGATCTAAGAGAAAGAAATTAAAACAAAACGAACACCATGTTATGGATTTATTGAAGGTAAACCTCCGGGGAAATTCAATGCAATTTTACATTTGTGTATAATGTAGGGTACAATAAAGGTTTATCTCCAGCATAATGGCTGGCATCAGAATGTTCTTAATCACTGTAATTTCTAAGAAAAAAATGAATATATTATATGAAAGCCAAAAACCAAAGGAATATTCCAGTAAACATTCAACCAATAAGGAAATTCAATATTTCTGCAAGGGAAGCTGAGAAAGAGCTTTTATTATAAGGCCCTATTCAGTTAATTAAAGGCCTTACTATATATATTGGAAAAGCCATGTGATTTCTATCCCCAAATCTTCCATGAATGCAGCAGTGACATAAACAACTGTGAACGTCCTATAAAGAAACAAATAAAGTAGCAAATTCAATGATGAGCTGAGTATCTGGTGATATTCTCATTAGAATTCTTAAACGCAGACACCATGCGCACATTGTGGGCCACAGGGTTAGTTCATACTTAATAGCAGTATGTTGACTGTCACTGAACAGACCTCACTCTACACCATAATCCAGCTAAAGCATTGCACCGTTTCCCCAAATTCTTAGGTTCCCCTCGACATGGATCTTATGCTGACAAATTAAACTAGAATGTTTTTAAATGCATCTACTTGACCTTAATTTATGGTTCCAAACACCATCAAGCCTTTTGCTCTAACTCAGATGTGGTAATTAAAAAATAATTAAAATGCTACTATTTAATAAAATGAAATTTTCATCCAGTCTGCTGTTACATTTCATTTGAATCATTACAGATACTCATTCTGTAGATTTCATCAGCATTTCCAGATCATGTTATTAAGAAATAGGTTGTTTAGTTCTTATCAGTCTCTTATTTTCTTTGAGGAATTAGGTATTTCCCTTGTTTTACCATCAATCTCTAAAGTGATAAAGTTTATTTCTAATTTTTTAGATTTGGGTGCAGAATCTCATGTAAATCGGGTTCAAACTTATTTGATGTTGGGAAAACAGTGAAAAAGTTCTCAGAAGCAGGAACTGATGCTTGGGTATAGTTGTTACAGACTACAAAACACAGATGCTGTTTTACCCTCTTTTCCCCAAACCAGTGTATGTTTACGTTGAATCACTTCCTAGAGCTTGAGAAATCTTGGTTAGCGTTTTTTGTGTGTTAAATAGTTTTCCAGCTCAATGTCATCAATTTTTACACTCAAACAAGTATGTGTTTCATTCTTGAGGTTTGGTGGCATACATTGCCAAATCAATTACATTCAGATTCATGCATCCAGTCCTAATTTAGATAGGTTTGAAATTTTCTTTCAAGGCCTTTTATCCATGCTACTAGGAGTATCGAATATGTGATAAGATCTGCCAGGTGGCTTCACCTGCAGTCTCACCTCACACATGTAAAAGGGCTTGCCTGGTACAGAAAGTCCCCAAATAAGTAAACACAAGCATCTTTCTGAATATAAATAAAATTATCTAATATAAAAGTAATCCTTTCAATTGAGATACTTGTAACATTCCTAAATTTTTGCCTGTATGATCCCTTGAAGGAGCTTCAACTCACTCCACAATTTATTTACCACCCTTTCCAGTTAAAACTATTAGTACACAAGCAATAGAACTGGTCAGAATCTTATAGGGAAGTTTAATATGGTCTCTGTCTTCAAGAGAATAATGATAAATATACAATGTAACCTAATTTTTACATCCTTTCAAGTGTTCTGGGAATATAGTGATTTACATATGCTGTTGGGCCTGGAGGTTTTCAGGAAAGGATTCCCTGGAATAGGTGATGTTCTAGTTTAATCTTATGAGTTAAATTTGGCCAAGAAAAGGTGAAGAAAGCATCTAGTCAGAGAGAAGATCCTCAGGACAGGTATGCAGGATGGTCAGGAAACAACAATCAGATTTTTATCCCAGAATATAAGGCATGAGACATACTAGCGGGACCTGAGTCTGGAGACTGGATAGAAGTGCCAGGTAAGGCCATTCTAAGAGGTTCAAAATGTACCATAGATCAAAAGGAGTCAACAAAGGGGTTTAAAAGGGAAATGAATGGTTTAAGTTTTAGGTCTACATTTCTGAATTATTGCTTTAACTGCAATCATTGCCACAGGTTGACTAAAGAAGAAAAATGGGAGGCATGATCTCTCAGCCAATATCAGGGGGAGGAGGAGATTCTCCTAATGAGATCTGCCTCCTCACATGCAGAGAGACCCTTGAATCTGTGAGTTCCTTGTGCATATCTAATTCTGGACATGCATTCTACAGCTACTTTTTCCTCCCCTTTATGAGCTAAGCCTCATGCACCATTCTCTTCCCTATACCCTGATTTCACTTCCTTAATTTTACTATTCTCTAAGACTCTAGTCAAGTCCTATCAACTTCCTCCTGCAGAAGAGAAATAAAAAGAAGCAAATAAATTGCATTCTTCAATGAAACAGGCTGCAAATGCACAATATTAATCATATGTTTACATATTTCACATACTAAACTATTCTAAAACCAAAGAGCTACAGTGTGGCTCTATGTAATTAGTTTCCTTATATTTTATGTTTATCCAGTGATATATCCACTTTATGATAAAAATAATTTTCATAGATACATATACAACACCAGTCAATGACATAAAGAATACATGTAAAAGTTATATTCCAAGAAAAAATCAAATGATTAATTCCTAAGTGTTCAAATAGAACATTAAAAGAGAAACAAATAGTACTATACACATAGGTATGTGTGTGCACATATACACAACTATGGGAATAATTATTTTTCTATTTTAAGATATGTTGTTGAGTTTACTTGGTTGCTAGAAAGATCTTTATTAAAAGCACCCTGAAATAGCACCATGGAGACTTAAGTCAAAAAAAAAAAAAAAAATTCCACTACTATATAGCTTTCCGTGTGGAAACCATAATGCTCTTGATAGAGACCATCATGTATTGGGACATATATGCTGTTTTCTACTATTTCTTTGATTAGCCCTCATTCTTACTCTTCAGGGTTTCTATCATAATACAAGAAAATAAAATTTTAAGCCCAGAAGGATTTTTACGGTAATGCAAGCTATTGATCGGTACATTTTTTTCAACCAGAGCTTACTATTGCGTCCAGATTCCTTACAGTTCCAATATGCCCAGCGGGTTAATATTAGGTAAGGTACAAGCTGTTAGAAAACTACCAGTACATTTTTTCTTCTCCACTCAGTGTTGCTACATATTTCAAGCTCCTATGGGGAAATAATGAAAACTTTATTTCTTTGTTTTATCCAAACCTCAGAATTCAGATATGCTTTGAGTGATAAAGGTCAGTCATAAAGTACTCATTCAAACCATGATTTTCCATTGTTGGTTAATGCTAAGTTTTTTGTTTGTTTTTTATTTTTTATTTATATTTTTCATAATTTCAAAGTAGTTTTTCAGTCACATCCCCTGCCCTGCCTACCCCCTCTAGTAGTCCCAAGCATCTCCTCTTCCTATTTTTATGTTCATATGTACTCGGTTGAAACATTTATTTTCAGGGTCATGATCATTCTTGTTGTCTCACACTGAATGATGTCCTAAATAGCAACCTCCCCTACCACAGAAGACTGGGGGTAAACTACAGATATTGCTATTGTCTTCTCTAACTGAGCATCTTATCCTTCCACCATCTGCTCCTTCCAGTCTCTGCTTGAACCTTCTTCTTCTGACTTCTGGTCTCAGGTCCTTTGGCTATTATAGCTACATGCATCCGATGCCTAATCTCTAAAGACTGCCCTTCACTCAGAGGCAACTTTAGGAGAAGCTTAAGCTTCGGGGCCCCTCCTTTGCACGGACCCCTTCCATGACTCTGAGTGGGACCTAGCAATTTGCCCACAAAGGTTTTTTTTATAGTTATGTTGAAAAAGTTACAATTTTTATGTGTGTTAGTTTTTTTTTTCCTCAAACAAGACTACGCCTCCCATATTTTATAAGCTTCAGGACCCACAAAACCCAGAACTACTTTTAACTTCAGAACTAAGCTGGCTTTTTGGTTGAAGTTCTCCTTGCAGAGCTCTTTTCTCTCCATGTGCACCAGCTGGGTTCTACTAACTGAAACCCGGTAGACATGTTCTGGCTTGGCCTCCCACTCTTCAAGACTTCGGGGATCACTGCCCTGCCAGGTTCAGCTCTGGGTCCTGCTTATCAGTGTAGCAGAATCAGTATAGGAGAATGAAGTACAGTAAATAGTAAAACACAAAAATTGCCCTAAAAGCATATTATGTGAATTAAATGCAAAATTCAGACCCCCAACATAGGATAGAAAACAGTTTATTTTCATCATCTGCTGCCAATTTTTCTGGGACTTATCCTAGAATCAGATGAAAACTGAGAAAAAGAAAACTTACTTTGAATGCCAAACATATCTAAATATCTCTGAGTGACAAGGTTTAGCCATAGATCTCGGGTCTTACAAGTATGTTTGTTTCCACCTAAATGCCTGGCACCATCAGAGACTATAGAGCAAGTAGATGATGCTGTGCATGTGGGGCTGTCCACCTGCAGAATGGCAGGTGGAAAATTATTCAGGGGAAGGAATTTAATTGGTGACCTTTAAAATAATGACTCATTACCTTAAAAGACTTTTATTATGTCAGCATGAGTACTTCAATTGAAATTAATATATTTAAATCAAAAACAGTAGGTCTTATTTAACCTATCTTTAACCAAAAAGTACATTTTAAATAATTTATTGGGATTCTTTACCTTGCCCCTTTCCTTTTCCTCCTTTTCATTTCCTCTTTTCTTTACTTGTTCCTTTCTCTTTCTTTTTTTCTTCCTTCCTTTCTCATTTCCCTCCCTCCATGAAACTCTCCTTTTGTTTCTTGGGAGGTTTCCATTTGCTCATTTGCAAATCAAATAGTAACTGCAGAGTAGAATGTAACTCTAAATAGTCAAAGCCCTTTCTCCATCTCCTGGATGCTACTGACCAAAACGACTTCAGGATTAACCCTCCTAATCAGGCAAGTAAGTCAGGCAGACCAGCATTCAACTTTTGATCTGGCTCCTATTAGCTGCTACATGAATTTACCTGGATATGGAAAAGAGATAATACATGTAAAGCACCTAGTAATGATCTGGGCCCTTCACAAAAGTTAGTTAATTGCATTCTTCCTCACAACTTACTTCTTTTCTCCTAAATGACCCAAGAAAAGCCAAGTCATGGCACATACTGTATGCCCAGCCCTTAGGCAGCCATTTCAGATCTTATGTTTGACCTGTAATTTACCCAAAAAGAATGAGATGGTTGGAAGCTCATTAACCAATATGCTGAATGTGTTAGATGACCTACAACAATTCGATTCCCACGTGCTAACGTGGGTCTGAACCTCGTGCAAACATGTGCAATCAGGCAGGTTCTCTAGTATTAAGAAAATATGCAGCTGGGCAGAAGCTGCATTTACTAGGACATGCTTGTGATTTTCAAAGCAAATTTTTGTTACCAGTTTTCATTATATTCTGGCCTATGTAACTTTTATGGCATACACATTTATAAATAAAAGCATGAGAGCCTCTAAATCACTGACTTAGGCTGAAATGATGCCTCTAGGGTTTGGGATTATAAAAAAATAAAAGGAGACCTAGCAGGGATCACAAGGCAATATCCTACAGGAAGCAAATTGATACCTGGGATTACAGTAGCAATTCCTTTCTGGCATTCACGAAGGAACATATTTTAGATAAACAAATAGGCAGAACATTTTGGATCTCTGTAAATAGATCTGAAAAGTCAGGCAAGAGCCTTTCCCTATATGGGTGGAAATGACATCATTCATAACCTTTTGAGCAACTGGTGCATTTCGAAAAGCTGTAATTTGCAGATATGATATTAAAGTTGAACCATTCACTCTATTTTACATTATAGTCCTATTGGCAGGACATGAGAAAGGCAATCTATAACTACATTTTTCATGACTGTTTTTATTTTAATAATATAACTTTACCTATAATGCTTCCATATTAATGTAAGTATATGTCTTTATGGACCTGAAAATAATAAATACTGATTTATGCCCATATCAGTCTTTTATTATAAATGCCATGATTGCTGTTTTTTTCTAATAGATATATGCACATAGGAAGTTAAGTGCCACAGAGAAGAGATACTAAATCATAGTCATTTTCTATTACTCAGTTACATATTCAACAAGTATCAGTGTGCAAAGTACTGAGGAAGGAGTTTGGAGGAGCTTGAAATGAAAAAAGACACATCGTGTTAATTTAGAACTAACGGGAGAGGAGATGCTACACAAATGCTTATGATGCAAGAGGAAGCTTAGTTTGTTCCATGAAAAATGGACAAACGCTGGGCCATAGGATTGCAAAAGAAGGCAGAAATATGTCCAAGACAACACAAAAAAGCTAAAAATGTCATTTAACTATTCCTGGAATTATAGACAGAATTTTGAAAAGAAAAATGTTGGTGAGATATAGTCTAAGAGCCTGGTTTTAGGTACACTTGTATTTGTTCCTATCAGATAAAACTATATGAAGCTAAGAAGTAAAATTAAATTCTAATAATTTACTTGACTTTAGAGCATACAAATTTCACCAATTATTTCTAATCTGATGCAAAGATCAAAGTATGTTAGAGATAAGAAATAGTGTGAGCAAAAACAAAAAAACACTAACTCTTTACTGGTTATTTTATTTCAGGTTCAATGACTAGAGATGGAAGGATGGAGTAGCTTTACTGACATCTTCTGGGAAAACTCTATGGCATGTCCAGAGAACACTGTAGCTTCAAGTAAGACCACATATACTCTATCCTATTTTGTGGAGTACTTATTTTAAAAGATATAAAAATCAGAAACATCAATAACAAATTATTACATGTTGGTTATAGTTTCTTTTTAGTGCACTTTTTACATTTAGTTAACAATGAAAACATATTATTTTGATTTTATTCGAATATACATACATCTGGATAGTATATAGGATATAAATTGGTTGTGCTTGTTTGATAAAGTACATAAATTACTCTCCTCTTTATTCATGCCATTCCCTTTCATTATTTATAGTTATGCTCAGCAAAGAGAACAAATAAATCGTATGACAACACCATACAAACCTCTGTTGGAAATATTATGTGTTGGCATACACTAATCCCTTTCACAGGGTGAAGGCATTGCAAACAGCTCCTCATGCCCTGAGTTTCCACTGTGCACCTAGGGTCACTCCTGGGCATGTGTATAAAACAAATGTTACTACTGATGAAAAGCAAGCACTCAGGACCTGGAGAAAAGCACAGGGTAGGAGTGTTTGATACATGAGTAACGATAAACAAGAGTTCTCACCTACTTAAAAATTAGTTGCAGGTCATTACTAAAGCAACTTTCCCATCAACTAAACACATGCTAATAACTCCTGCATTTGAAAAATTACCTTGGGTCAGTACCAGAATATTTCACATTCTCGAAGGTAATAATTCAAATATCAACGAATGCAAGATATATCTGACTCTACTCCTTTGCATAAGCAGTGTAAAAATATTCAAAACCAACAGAAAAAAATGCATTTGTATACTCGGTTTGAATAGAATTAGTGAATCAGGACCATGCAAACGAAACTTAGGTGTGAAGGAAACACATCCAGAGAGAAAAGGAGCAAGATGAGCAAGGATTGCAGGAGAATGGGGGAAGGGGGAGTTGAGGAGGACCAAGCAAATAGCCTCTTTTTACATTGAGATGGTTTTGAGAATAATAATGTGCTAGTTTCTTTCTTTCCTTTTTTTTTTTTTTAATCCAAGTAGCTATTGAAGATTGTAATGATTTCATTCTAAAAAGCAATGCTGGAAAGGCTCTTCGGAGATTGCCAACTCCCACTGTGCAGAAACACTGTGTCCCTGCGTGCTGGTGTAATGGAGACAAACAAAAGAAACACTTCAAGAAAAGGGGAGGCAGAACAGGGAAGGCGAAAAAGCACAGAGAATGTGGTTCCCAGAGAAACAGTAAGAGTTTTAGCAATGACCAAAAGCAAGCATAACCAGCCTCAAGTCTGAAACTGATGAAAGTTAAATAAAAGGCTCAACAATTTAACTAATATATTGCATAATGATATTCTCAGTCAAAATAACAGTAACTTGTCATCATCAACCATAATGATCTAGTCCCACTTGCAGTGATACCCACTCCCCACTTTAAACTGGCCCAATTTGATTCGATCTTTCCAGGCATCTATGTGGGCTCCCATCAGAGCCAATATATCTATGAAAGATTATTAGTTATGGAAATGTGTTGCTCTATTGCTTCAGTCTGCCTGTATCTCTCCCATTCTTTTCCTTTCTTTCGGCAAAATCAATGTTTTCAGAATCAACATATGTAACTACACAACAAAAACATCCTAATTAGGATGATACTCCTTAGTTACCTCAGTTCCTATAAAGATTTACACAGAGTTTATTACTTCCAGATTCTGACCATTATAAAAAGGTCAATAATAATTACTGTTTATTTGCTTTCAAATGCTCTTAATGTGAAAGTTTTTGAGATGGTGAAAACTAGTATTCATGGAAAAACTCATAGTCAACATTTTAGGAAAGAAGATTTACGTTTGTTTTCCATTTCAAATAATTTTAATTACAATGTGTCCATTTTTAACCTACTGAAAGGAAAAGGAATAAGTTTGCTTAATGCCATTATTTCCACACCAGGAATTGATGCTTCTTTGGTATTTGCTATGTATCATTGCATTCTAAACCAACTTACAATCTCTGTGTTATTCATCTTCCTATAAGGTTTATCTGAGGCTTATCTGAGGGATTTTTTTTGATTGTTTGGTATGACTACATTTTGTAAATGGTGCAATGCAAAAAAAAGGCATCTGTTTCTTGTAGCTAGCAACTCACACTCTGATAAAAGAATTACACTGAATCTTTTTGATGGAAGATCCTCATATCTCTATTCAGAAAGCAAATCACCAAATCTGAAAACTTTGAGGAAAGGCATTTCAGGCAACAAAATGGGGGGGAACATGGTAGCCAAAACCACCATATCACAAACGTTGCCAAAATTATTTTTAAGCTCCCCAAGTCTGAGAACAAGGATCTTAAACCTTATTTGAGGTTTTGGGGTTTTTTTTAAGAGACATGATCTTGATTATGTTAGCAGATTATCACTGTGTTACAAAGTCTATTTCTAAAAGTTACCAATGAATAGAACTTTTATTAATTATTATATAAAAATATTTTACTAACAAGCACAAAATACGGTTGAATAAAACTCTTTCATATAGTTCACTTACATAATAGTTGTTTAAAATACACTTAATAACAGAGTAGCTATTAAATATAGCTGGTTATATGAAAGGAGAGTAACAAAGAACAATATAGGAATTCTGTTCTCCCTAAGAGTCGCTATTTATGATTATTGAATAAAGAAAATCTTTTTTGCTTTAAATGATTCAAGAACTTGAAAGACCTAGCTGTTAACAGGCATATTCATTTTTACACATCACACTCAAATGTTTCATTTTGATATCTCTTGTCCCTTTTGATTTAATTGTTTAGTAGTAATACTAACATATCATATATAATAAAATAGGTATTATTACATAATAGCGAATATTTATGGAACATTTATCATGTACTATACACTGTTGTAAGAGCTTTAAATATACTGACATATCTAATTCTCACAACTTAAGAGATGTATTTTATTATCCCAGTTATTCAGATGAAAGGTTAAATAACTTGCCCAAAAGCAATTGCATTTTAAACGGAAGCCCAAATCAAACCTAGGTAGTCTGACTTGTATATAACACTTCTAATATTGATAACTCAACGCTTTCAATGCCTCAATATATATTCATTTGAATATATTCCAATTGCATTGAAATTTTTTTACAGTATCTCCAAGCAGTAAAAAAATATATATATATATGATTTACCAATCAAATTGTAATGCACCATTCAGAGGAAATACCATGATTATCACATGTGTATGTCCACTCTCTAGAAAATAAGGCTTTAAAAGGTAGGATGTAGAAAGAAAGGCAAAAGCACCCCTGATTGACTTCAAGAAAGGGGAGAAAAAGATGGAGGCCACCCCAAACTCAAAGGAAGAACAATAGATTTCAGCTATTTCCTTTCCTTTCCTTTTATTTCATCAACATTAATAAGGTTAGAAGAGGTTACTGTTTGTGTTATCCTTGTTCCCTGCTTCTTATTTTTAAAAAGGGAAGTAAGTGAAAAGGAAATGTTGGTCAATTAAATGTTTGTTGTTTATGGGGTATGTATTTTTATTTTCCTCTTTCCTTGCAAGAGCCAGACAATTATTTTTTCTAGAATACCATTTTTTAAGAAAATAATAGCAAATGCTGTCTCTTTTCTTTCATTATGATGCTTAACAAGACAATCTAGGCAGGTGGTCACTCATTCCCAGCTCAGCAGTGGGTTGCGGGTAAACAATTAGTAGGTCAGCCTGAAGAAACAACTTTGCTAACAGGAGGGAACTCCAGATGATGGTGGCCTATGGTGGTCTCACCCTCACAAGTAAGTTGTCTGCCTATGGCCGTTCACACCTGGAACTGAGTTTCTATTTACATCTAGGTTAGAAACAGTGGAATTAGAAGTAAAGCAACCAGGACAGTGACACACAAAGTTGAAAAGACACAAGTTGTGTCCTCTAGAAGCTCACAACCTAGGGAATGAGTGAATGGCAGAGACTGAGAGAGTTTACTATGAGAAGCTCTAAGGTATTGTACAAGTTATTAGGGAGGACAATGCCACATAATCCATGAAGGGGCAAGGACCGAGGCAGTGTAATCAAGAAGGCTTCACAGAAGAGATGACTTGTTTCTGGGTCTTGCAGAAGGTTTTGTCGTCAAGCCAACCCAAGAAAACAGGGAGAGGGATATGCAGAGATGAAAAACATTTCTTGCCAGAAGAAAAATAAAACAATCCAATCAATTTCACTTGTGCAGAAATCAGCCCTTAGAAACTACTTACAAACTCCAGCAGAGCAGAAGGTTTCTCATCCATTTCCAGCAAGTTTGTAATCCCACATGGGGCTCTCCTCATTCATTTACCGAGAGTATGAATATGGGGCAGTAGTGGTGAAATCACCCAGCAATGATTTTAACCCCTCAGCCTTCCTTCATTTAGTCACAGCACCTTCCTCCCATTTTGCTACTCCTCTGTTTGGAGTTCTGTTCAGCAGGGTGCTTGTGGCTTTAAAAATGCAAAATGTTTGCCAAAAGGAACAGTTTTGCCATGTAGCAAATGTTCATACTGTGTAATGCTAATTTATGTCCTTTCCTATAGTTATACAGGTTGCTATGTGCAATGAATTAAACATTAATGAAAATTATTTGATGATGCTATTAGGGAATATATTGAGGAAATAGATGTTTGAATGCAGGTGTTGCCACTCTAATGTGGTAACATTTTTTTTTTCCAAAAATTGAAAAGCCACAGAAATGAAAGCATTTGGAAAATGCAACTATTGAAAAACTTAGCATGAGTAATTTTCTGTTCCTTAATCTAGGTACTAGATACATGAATGTGTACAATTTGAAAAAATTCAGCAGCTTTCAACTCATGATAGGTATACTTACATATTAATATGTTTAAGAAACTTTAGCATCAGCAATGAAATATTTAATACATTCACAATGCAGAAATATAATCATACTTTTTGGTTCCAAATCTAAAATAAAAGCACCAGATAAATAGGAGAAAACCCTTCTCCACACAGGAAAAGATTGTTTCAACTCTTGAAGAAATGGAATCAAACATAGTAGGTATTCTGGCTATATGATATTTGGGGGAAATTTGCCCAATATATATACTTATGAATGAAGTATGAAATAACTTTTATTTTAGCTCAATACGTTGCTGCTTTTGTTTGTACCTTTGTATTTCTTTCTGTGTACGAGAAGTGAACTGCCCTAGAGACTGACAGATAGTTTATGTGGCATTTAACAATAGAGAAGGAGGTTCCGTCAACTAAGGTGGCAATGAGCTGACTGACTTCATGGAATACTATAGGTGGGAAAATTACCTTGATGCTTTCTACTTGTGCTGATTTTTCCTTTTGCTGACACTTCTGATGCTCTGAAAGTTGCTTTGCTCACATCCTCTGCTACTGGTGTCAAAGCACACTCTCAATCTTCACATGCCAAGAGAGGAGGAAAACCTTATTTCAATGCCCAAAAGACTTAGCTCCTGTCAAAGATATTCATTTAACACTCACAGTTGGTCTATGGCAACTTGAAGATGTTGTCTTAAAGTGTAGGGCTGGTAGGGGGTGGGGTGGAGAGGAAAAGGCCTGGTTTTCTAAGGAAACCTTGTGCTTTCCATATTCTGAAGGCAAGTAATAAATGAAAAGTGCAATCTCACCTGTTATTTAGAAGATCTAAGCTTCTTCAGGACTAGGAGGTGGTAGCCGGAACAATAAGACCATTTCAATTGACTAAGAAAAAAGACTTTTCAACAGAATAAAGTGTATTACTTGCAAAGCTTTCTCCTATAATTGTCACACAATCTAATTTCTTTAGTCTTGGCGAGTTGCAGCGAATTCATTTCATAAGAAAAATTATTGCCAGCATTAATTGCAAGCTTACAATTTTCTTAATGTGCTAAGTGCTACAAATAGCATACCAAAAACATGGTCATTCCTAAATAGGTATGGCACTTTATCCTAATCTATATGAAATAGGCACATGAAACTCCAAGTTATTTATAAAAAGGTAATCAAATATTTTAGTAAAGAGTTGCTATCTGGCTAAATTGCAGACAGTTGACAAGCCATCCTATTTACTCTGACCACATACACATTCATACTATATGTTCATTTCAGGTCACTTTTTCATCTTCCTCCCCACCTACTCCAACCTCAATATTCTTTATAATCATCTTGTTTGTACCATTGCAAAACCTATCCCAGAACATAGTGAAGTATGCAAACTTCGTTCATTGAGTCCTTTTTTCTTTCCTTAGACTATTTTTAAAAACTGCATATTTTACACAATAAATCCTAATTCAGCCAATACCAGTTCATTCAAATAGCATCTGAATTTTAAAATTGGCTCCTTTTCAGACAATTAGTCGGGGTGCCAATTTCCCAGTCAAATAAAATCATTTTCCCATTAACATTTTTGGTTATATAATCTGCTATACAAATATAATACTATTAAAACTCAATGTGCAAATTAAGTCCCTAGAATATCTCAGTTGCTAATTTGGTCAGATAACTCCAAGCATACATTTTGCTGTCATTTAAATTGGAGATTTTTCTGCTGGCTGATTGCTTTCCAAGGGTGAGAATGTGGCTGAAGAGCCCAGTGCATGTCTCAGATTTTCCACACTTCATACACATGGAAGCTGTCTTTGGGCTGGGACTCTCTCCTCTGTCTGTAGAGCATATTGTACTTGCAGCCCTGCCTTTCCTCCTTGTAGGCTGCCAGACACATTTGCCCAAAAAGAGTCACTCAGTCTTTGATTTTTTGCATGTAAGTTTGGCCTGTCTGATGTTGTTTGCACAGCCATGCCACATTGTTAGAAGTTGTGATTCAATGTGTCCTTGGAGCCTTTCTTTTGCCAGCCCTGCCTACTCCTACTCACAATGCCCCCATTCCGGCTCACTGTTGAGCAGCTGACTCAGGGCCTTAAAGTGAACCATCCCCCAGGTTTGCCCAGTTCCCATGCTTGCTGCTGTGTTGATCTTCGCTTCAGTTACAGGCCCAGCTGGGGGCACACTTTTAGTAATCCTGCTTTCCCATTTATGTCACATATGTCTTGCAGGTGATGCGGGAAGCTGCCTGCGACATCTGTGACAGATCCAGACCTCCCAACCATATGGAAGGTTGGACAGTACCAAACATTTGATTGGATCCAGAGTTTGGTGCCACATTTGACTGCCAACCTCCTAAAAGGCACACAGGCCGTCTTGAGTAGGTTTCCATTTCTTTGTTTCCCAGAGCTACAATTCAGAGTTGTTTGATTTCCAACAAGATTAGTAATACAACACCATTATCACCTATAGGTTAAAGATGAAGGCTCTGTGATATCAGACAAACTGAGACATAGATCCTGTTTATACTACTCTGGGGCACTGCTCTTAGATAAATTACTTGATCTCTTTAAGTCAAAGTTTCCTTATTTGTAAAATTATGATGGTAATTGTTTCTATTTCATGGAGTTAATAAAAGATACAATTATGAGAGATGATGTATGTAAATAGTTTAATACACACAAAATATACACAAGTACTCAATAAATGTTAGCTGTTAGAATACATAGGACAAAACTGGGTTCTTTAGGCATTACTATAGCATACACGGCTTGCAAAAGTTGTATGTTATATTTATTTGATTAGCTGTAAGTTTATTTCTTGATTTTATCATAACTTTCATTGAATCTGTCTTGGAGAATGTCAAAAGGTAAGTCTCCAATTCTTGCCTCAGTCTCTAGACCAAGTAAAATATTTCAGTCCATTTCATACTTCCTTCCAAAAAACACATTAACATTAATGCTTCTTCCACCCCATGAAGGAAGGCAGGAATGCATTCTTGAATGTCTCAATTCAACAGGAGTTCTTGACGTCACCTGGACTTCTGCTCACTGCTGGTCTTTCCCTTGTGTCTGTCTTTCTGCTACTCAGTTCAGAAAATTGCAGTATAGAATTGGTTACCCAGACCCTCCTTCAGTTTCATGTGTTTGACCTTTGAGTCCAGTTAATTAATTTAGTTCTGTTTCCCACACTGACTTGTCACTGGGATATCATCTAACCTCACAATATCCTCTAGCAGGAGAAATGAAAGAGATCTTAACAGGCATCTTGTCTTCCATGGAATAAATCAATTTCTGCCTTTTCAAGAGTCTGCTGAAAGACTTCTGCTGAAGAAGACCTTACCTGCTTAGTTGAAAATCCTTTCCAACTGATAAATCACTGCCCTTTATACAATCAGAGACTACCTACTTGGCAGTCTACTATATTATATAGCTTACTATGAACAGAATACATCTTTGCATGTCTGATCTTCACAATATTGAAAACAACTATAACAGTATCCTTAAATTTGACCTTTCCTAATTCAAGCATCCTCTATTATTCTTCATGATTTCTAGCCCTCTCCCCATAGAAATGACCCTCTTTAATTAGTTCTTCATTAATTATAGTTTATATATTCACCGTAATTTCTTTTGTAGAAATAACTTGTTCCTTAAACAAGCACAGTAAAGCAACAGAGGAATTGAGTAAATTGTTTGTTGTTGTTCATAAAACATTTTACCAAAGGCA